GCCTCAGCAGGTGTGAGCACGGCCGCCCCTCCCGTGCTCCCCGTGTACCCCAGCCCGGCATGTCAACTCCCACGCGTGTCCCCCATGGCCCTCGCACGTGCCCTCTGCCCCCGCTCGTACTGCTGGGCACCCCGCGCAGGCCTCGGTCCTGGGCCCCCTCCCGCAGCCCTTGGCCGGGTGCAGCAGTGGGGTGCCCACGGGGGACCGGCCCCTGGGGAGGACGGTGAGCCGCTGCCGCCGAGGCCAGGGCCCGGGAGGGTCGGCTCCGGCACCGCGGCGCCTCCCGTGTCCGGGGTCCCCGCGCCCCACGTCAGGAGAGGTCGACGGGAGTGGCTGCCCCCGGGTCCCTGCAGTGCACAGAGCCTGAGGGCCTGAGGGCTCCAGCAGGACACTGGCCGCTCTGAGCCCTCCACGCCGGCCACCGCCCTGCTGCCCGCCACCACGAGGCTGGGCCCCAGCCCAGGGGGTCCACGGAGGCCCCGGCCCTGCTCTGCTGAAGCCACTGTGGGCGGCCAGTCCCCTGGGCGGGAGGGGGAGGCCCGGTGTGCCGTGGCCGTGGGCGCGTGTGGGCCGGGTCTCCCTGGCGCTGGTCCCGGCCTGGCCGCGCTGCCAGGAGGCCCGTCGGCCTCCGCCGCCGCTGGGGAAGTAACGTGGCTTCGCGTGCGCAGAGGTACAACGAGCTGCAGGACCACGTGAGAGCTGCCGACTCCTTCAAGGAGGAGAAGTGGGATCTGTGAGCCCCGGTAAGACGGCCACCCCCCCCCAGGTCTCCACGCAGCCTCTGGCTTAGGTGCCCACGGTGGCCACCTGCCACCCCGTGTCCACTCCCCGCCCACCGTGGCACCCAGCTGTCCAGTCCAGCCCCTGCTGTGCAGAGGCAACACGAGATCAGTGTGCTGGGCGGCAGCCGCGTGGGCGGCCGGGGCTGCGGCTCCCAGCACCCCCAACCCGCCGGCCTTCGGGCAGTAGACGCGGGCACCGCCCCTGGCCGGCCGCACCCCAGACCCGCTCGGGCAGTCCCCACGCGCCTCCCGAGGCCACTGGTGTCACCTTGTGCTGCCCAGGAACTGCCAGGACTGGGGTGCGCCATCACTCGCGCCCACCCTCTGCCACGCAGGGTCGGGGCCTGGTCGTGCAGAAACCTGGACCGCGGCCCGCGCCCTTCACCTGGACGGCGGCCCGCGCCCTTCACCTGGACGGCGGCCCGCGCCCTTCACCTGGACGGCG